TATATACATAGTATATAACTTGTTGAAACACAATACACACATACACGTCTTAAAACAAAATTTAGGTACCTTCAGTAAGAATACATTTACTGGATTCTGTGTCTGCACCAAGTTTGTTCGGAGACCCCAAAATAAATGAATCTCTCTGTCTTTTTGTCATGGCACAGTGGAACAAGCTGCCAACATTTGTATAAAAAGCTTAATTCTGCTGTTTAAGGTTTTGTATTTTGCGGCTGATAACGTAAAAACAGCCAATAATTAAAGTTTCAAACTAGCATCCTTTTATGTTGACAAATGACAGAGTTGCGGCTCTTTTGGCCAAACCTCGATAAATATATGTATATATCTGAACTCATGCACTGTGAGTATGACCCTCAGCTATGACCACATCAAACTTTGGCACAACATTTGTAAAAATGACTGAGTTATACCCATGTTTGAATTTGCAAACTTCAATTAGCTGTGGAAGCCATCTTTAATTGSATTGACTTTTTTCTGTAAGTTTCATTAAAACCTGAACACCAGGCCAGGGCACGCTTAAAAATGAGATTTTTAATCTCAGTGAGTTTTCTCTCCAGTAAATAAAATAAAGGAATAATAATTAAAAAATTAAATAATGATAAAAATAAAAAAACAACAATTTCGTAATTTTGCTAACAGACCATAAGGCTGACTCCAAAAGTTACTGCTAAACTTTTAAGCAAATATATCACACAATGAGCAGCACTTAACATATGAGTTGTGAYTCTTTTTTTTAGCCACACTACAACCAATTTCAACAGAATATTTACAAAACTATCCGAATTATAACCACTCTTGTGTTTCCTCAGGTGAGTTGGTTGTGAAGACCTGCTTCAGCTGGGTCAGTTGTAGRGGAGCATCTATTGACTAATTCCAGAAAGCTTTAATCAAATCTGTCTTGTGGACAATGAGATATTTTACAAACAGACCGAGTTAACTGCAAATAGTTAACAATAAAATTGATCACTCTCATCTACTACCCCAGCAAACTTTAGCAGAGGTATTTAGTTGGAGTGAGGAGGATGACTCCCTGCGGTGACTCCTGCAGAGGGAACAGCCAAAAGAAGAAGAAGATGTTAGGCTTTCAWGCATGAGCTGAAGATTAAACCTAAGATTTGTTTTTTACTAGGAAGTCTTTACCATCCTCTCTTTTGGATTGCCTTTCAGACCGTTTTAATAGTCATCATTGTCCTAGCCAAGGTAGAATTGCCTCCCCTTTGCCCACAGACATCATTAATAAGCAATTTACTTTGAAGCCAATTGAGAAGAAGTGATCTCTACTGCAAAAAGCTCTTGTTTTTGTGTGTGTCTCTTTTCTCCCTTTGACTGCGTACTTTCCCTATCTTCAGGCAATTATTAGAAGCTGCATTAGGTCTGTCTGAAGGGAATTGATCTGAGCTCTATTCATCTGCTGTGTCTCATTTGTGCACACACACACACACACACACACACACACACACACACACACACACACACACACACACATTCACAGAGCAAGGGCAGGGCATGGGGTTTCTAGGACACATTGGTGCAGCTGTTGGCGAGAACAAACGAGGGGGGCTTTTGTGGAGACGAGCAGGAGACGTTTGCACGAGCACACAAGGAAACAAGCGATRTTGTGCAAAAAACAGAATACTGGAGATGTAAAGTAAACAAAATTATTGCTGCTTTGTCCAGTGAGACGGGCTGTTTGCTCAAAGGAGAGTGCACCCAGACAGCCAAAGAGAGGCAAATATTCCTCCTTTAAGCAGCGTGAGCGAACAAAGGCGTAACCACACCAATCATTCAGCTATTATGAACAATAATTCGCTTGTCAGAGTGGAGCCACATCCCATTAGAGGTAACTATTGTMTGGATTAAAAATAAGCGCAGCTTGATGCATTTACCTTGTCTAGTTCCTTTGAAAGCCTCATATAATATCTGCAATAACTGGGACACTGAAAAAATAAAATAAAAGATTACAGAAGTTGTTGCTTTTTAAAATAATTTTCCTTACTCTGTATGTCCCTTTATTCAAACTTAACCATTTTCACTGAAATTATCCCTTAAACTAATAAAGCCATACTGCTGCAGCATTTACGCAATCATGCACATTATGTTGCAGATGACTATCAGCCACTAACACGTCAAAATTTAGCTAAATGTCTGTAAAACTGATTGCGTCAGCCATTTTTTGTGTTGGACAATGTTGGCCATCTTCAAATCGACTGACTCCCAAACAGAATCCATTGTAGCTGTTGATCCAATGGTGTCTTTCCGTGAGTTTCAATAAAACTCATTAAGTAATTASAGATATTTTGCTAACAGACAAGCAGCACTGACTGCAGTYTTAGGCAAAGATCTCACACACTGTGTAGCACTTGGAGTCAGCTACAACCCCATTAAATTTGTTTTTGGGCTCTGACTTAAACCCATTTCTCATGAAATATGACTTTTGTCTCTCTGTTCAATTTATTTCRTTTTTGTATTTAATCGACTCGAAGATCAAATCAAGCGGGTCGTTTTATTTTCCTTTCCTTGCTTTACCTCAGTTTCATTCCTCTTTGTCTCTGCTGTTGCACTCAGCGCCCAGACTAGCTGCTCAGGTTAGACTTATAGAGACCAATAAACAGAGTTAATCATGTGTGAGCGAGCAAAAGACAGAGAGAAATAAATAGCAAGACTTCTTGCCASTTATATGAAGTACACACATAGAATCCGCAATAATTCTGCTCAACAAWACATGCTTAAAATGCAGATAAAATAAAACGAAACGCTGTACAGGTAGAGAATGTTCTGATGTTCAGAAGAAGGAAACTGGAATGAAAAGAACAATATGGACACGGAGCTGYGTGAGTAATGAGTCTAATTATGTTTTGGGTGTCGTACAGAGCTGCTGCAGGTATGATGGATTCCTAATGTTTCTGCRCCACTGAAGGACACACAGTAACTCTCCCAGCCATAATATCTGTCTGTGCCTGCAGCTTTTTCCTACCCGTGTTTGTGTGAGTGCAGCTTAAAGACTGTTTACTGTGGCTAATGGTATGGTAAATGTGTGTGTGTCCTGAGGGTTAATTGCCAAACTTCTGTAGTAAAACGTCACCACAGAAAACAAGTGGTGACTAACAGGCAGCTGCAGGGCTCACTGGGACATTAACTCCTGAACCGATTATGGGTAAAAACTACAAGCAATTATAAATTACTGCATCCTGACATTAGAAATGCCAAGTAAATACTTGGGATTTTCTTAAACAAACTGTATACAGACTTCCTGATAGCAAACCAAAATGTATTTTTTCCCATTAGTGTTTGAAACCTGGTGAGATTTAATGTGTTTTATAATCCTTAAAATGAGGTAGTGGCGGTGGGGGAGGTCTATTTGAGCACAGCTCTGCATTTAAATGCACTATTTATGCAATGCATATTTAACCTATGGTAGCATTATGCCAAGTTGCTTCAAATTTATCACTGTAAATGAATTTGAGACATCAGTTAAAGGGATAGTTCAGATCCTTGGGGTTTTTTATAGAAAAGTTATGAACACAACATGGATGTGAAGCTAACAAATCTGCAGCGACTGTGTGATGCTGTCATGTCAATTCTTATGAAAATCTCAGAGGAATGAATGCATGACGTGAACGAATAAGGCAGTTCTAAAAACAAAAAGAGTCAAACTCAGAACTAGCAAGGTGTACCCAATAAAGTTTTTCTGTATGTTTGTATAAAATATCTGTATAAAAGCGTTGTGTAATCATAGGATGTGTCACAGTTACAACACGTTGTTTCCACAGCATAAAATGTTGAACTTTAATCTCTTGAACCCCGTGCCCCCTGGTACCGGAGGCAAAACAACTTTTTCCATTTTCTATTTCTTTTAACTTCATTAACTTAAGATCTGTAAGTTGAAACTTGACATGTTTGGTATCAGTAGAAAGCTAAGAATCTTGGCTAAAAGCTCATGGAAAGTAAACAAACTGTACAAAATGGCATCATTGGAAATCTGTAAATACAATACAGCAAATCTGTAAAGGAAACTTTTTTGACATTATTTTTTCAAAGGAAGTCACAGTAGATACCTAAATATGTTGTAAAGTGTGTTGAAAGTTTTATTTTACTTGATTTCGATTTGAGTGAATATGATCCAACTGAAGTCAAATATAATTTCTCGTTATTTTATATAATACACATGGCGACAAATAAATGTTTGGATAATTTTTTAAAAGAACAAATATTCAATAACAAGTCTTCAGGCAGGTAAGAAAAAATAAATAATTTCTGGATGAAAAAACTTAAGATTTCTTAACTTTTRTTAATGTTACCATCATGGTCTGTCCTGTGCAGAATGACAAAACGCAAAATTATTTCTTCATTAAAACCTCTGTAACTTTGCTCCAGGTAATTTTAGCAGCATGAATCTTTGCACAGATAATGTCCACAAGCGGATTGTTTCCAAGAGCTTTTAGCCTGATTCATTATGGTTTTAAATAAGTTATATATTATCTAATGAAAAAAACTATTCTCACCTGTAGTGAGAGTGATTTTTTTAAAGTCATGTTCTATCCCCAATATCTCTAAAACCATAGCAGCTGTTTTAATACTTACACTTCTGAAGAAATCTTCCACGTGTTAGCTTTATTTTGATACCAGGATTATTTAAGTAGAGTTTGTAATTACTGAGATACAATCAATTACATTTCAGCATGGTATTTTGAGAAAAAAATTAAAGAAAACCCCTTGGGGCTTGAGCGGTTAAAGTTGCAAAAAAATCTATTTTAAGAAGTTATTAGACATCCATCCAGTATCTATACCTGCTTCTTCCTTTCAGGGTCACAGTCCTATCCAGGCGGGGTACACCCTGGACAGGTCACAAGTCCATCACAGGGCCACACATAGAGACAAACAACCATTCACTCTCTCACTCACACCTAGGGACAATTTAGAGTTACCAATTAACCTAACAGTTATGTTTTTTGTCTGTGGGAGGAAGCTGGATTAAACCCATGCTTTCACGGAGAGAACACACAAACTCTACTCTGAAAGGTCCCTGAGCCGGGATCCGATCCAGCGACCTTCTTGCTGAGAGGCATCAGCTCTACCTACTGAGCCACTGTTATTAAACAATTTTTTGTTTAATTAAGAACAGCAAAAGGAACAATTTTATTGAACTCTTGCAATTGTTACAAAAATACAAAAGTCCACTGAGGGTGGGGAATTTCACCCTCCAGTTCAAAACAGTACCTATGAAGTTCCTTTAACTAGTACTAACGGAAAGTTATCATCTCTTGTCTGACTGTATCAGTCTCCCACGTAGCTGAGAGGAAATTTTAGCTGATTTTTTCCCCCAATGCTGCTCTTGGATATTTAACTGGGCACAGCTTTGTTAAGGCCTCCGTATCATTTTAACCCTGTTGTGGTCTAGACTTTGACTAGAGCACAACTTTGATTATTTTCTTTTTTCTGCCCATTTGATACAATTTCCTTGATTTATTGGGGGTCATTAATAGCACAACCTCTCCTACTTCCAATACAAGCATTTCTAGAGCCTTGAATTACTGGCATCGTTAGCTTGTTGACTAGTTTAGATCAAGTTTCAGGTGCTGAACAAAGTGCTTCATTTGACGTTTTTGGTTAGCTGTTTGGATCAATTTGCCCTATGTGGAACTTAACCAATCCATTCGTCCCCTTGGCAGGACGGGCGTTGCTGCGTTTGAATGGAGAAAAGCTAGAGAGGATGGGAATAGTCCAGGACACTCTGAGGCAGGAGGTGCTCCAACAGGTCCTCCAGCTGCAGGTCAGAGAGGAGGTTCGCAACTTGCAGCTCCTTAGCAGAGGTGAGTGGCCATGTTGCTTTGTATTCCTGCCACCCTTTGCTTATTTGTGTGTGTGTGCGTGTGAAAGCTTTTGAGTGAATGAGGGAACAAGAAAGTCAAACAAATACAAGTCAAATTTGGGGCAGGCAGTCTGAGCTCACGCGTGCCTGCTGAGACATACGTGGAGTTAGACATCAAAGCTCAATTGTCGTGGCTTTGTGGTTTTATCAATAAGAGCTCTTGATTTGCTGCTCTGCCTCTGAACGATGACTTCATTGACCACTTTCATTACCCGGCTGTCGGTAAACTGCCTCGACCCACCTGGATTTGTTTCATGTGCCTTATTTTCCTGTAAATGAATCTTTTGTGTTAGGCTGAATCTTTATTGTTGTTTTTTGTGTGTGTTTGTGTGCGTAGGTGTATGCATGAATGGCCATGAGTCATCAAAGTAAAGCAATTTTCCTTTCTCTATATTGCTTTGATCTTAGTTCCAGTTTTTTTTCCCCAGGACCTTGTTTATGTTCCACCTTTACAACCTTCAAACATCGGGATTATTAATACATACTTCCTGATCAAACACTTCATGTAAAATCCAAGCTCTGTAAAGCCATATTTTAAACTCTGCAACATCATTATGTCCATAAAAATTCATATTTAATGACGGCATCTACTCTGTTTTTGATCATAATGTTGTGTTCAGAGGTAAATGCCAGGACACACTGCTGTGGGGACTATAATCCCTGGCCTAAATTGAGTTGATGCAACATCTTAGCCGAGTGCATGCCTCGAATGAAAAGGGCTCTGTAAATTTTAAGATGAACTACAAGATTAAAGCTTTAGTAGTTTCAAATGTGCTTTTAATCAGTCATCAAAAGTTTCAGTGGGCTGAAAAGGGCAGAAAGTTTTCTGCCACCATGACAAAAGTTACAACACTATTTTCTCTGAATGCTTCATTCTGTATTAGTTAGAGTTGTCTGGGCTAAAAAAAGGAACTTAAAAGGAACATTCCTTAAATTTGCTTTCTGCCCACTATGTCTTGACATGAAGGACAGCAACACTCCTGTATGTTCTGTTCAAAATTATTGCAGTTTATTGACCATTAACTGATCATCCCGAATTCATTCTTCAATTATTTTAATTGCAAGCTTAATTCAGACAAGTACTCTAAATGAATTCAGTTTTTCCTCAATAACAAGTTCACTGTCTCACTTTYTGATCACTGATGCTGCTAATTCTCTTACCTTTTGATTTTCTGCATAATCCAGTCTGCTACAGCCTGCTTTGAGGTGAGTCCCTAATGCACAGCCGAACATTTTGTTAAATGAGCAACTCTAGGACTACAGATGGCTGCAAAGAATCCAGATCCAGGGTGATTTCAAAGAGCAAACGCTTGTAACGTCAGTCATGCATAAGATTCATGCAAATCCATTGGAGTTTTTGAGTAACCCTGTTGACAGAAAAAAAAATGTAAAAAAAAAGATTAATTCCTACAATTTAAGTCCATAAAAATCTCTGGTGGTTGTGATGTGAATCCATTTTCAGCTCTTATAATCAGCAAATAGCAGCAAATTGAAAATCTGATTTATATGACTATAGAAATAAAAAATACTGTCTGAGCCTTTACGCAAGCATAACATTTAGGTGCATTTTTTAGTCTTTATTTTCCTTTCCAAATTTCACTCCTAACCTTTCAGTTTAATTGAGTTGTCTCCAAACTTTTGAACCCCGCAGCACACAGTGAAAGAAGGGCTTTTGTTGACCTTCAAATCAATCGAGCATGTTGAACCGAATTAAACTCAGAGGTGCGAAGCAACCAATAGGTAATGAGACAGAATTAAATTGCTGATTGGACACCTTCATTAACTGGGCAGAGCAAATGTAATTTCCCAGTTTGTGAGGCTCTGACTTTAAGCTTTAAGGGCAGGCTAATTGGGTGGCCTTGCGTAACACCTGATTTTCACCGAGTTGGAGGGAAATTGGGAGGTAATAAAGGTATGGGACAAGTGTGAGGAAAAAAAATGTTGATGCTTCACTTTTTTACTAAATGAGAATCAAGAGGTGGAAGAGGTGGCGATAAAGCAGTGAGTGGGCAAAGGTACTTTCTTAGCCGAAAGATGAAAAACAGTTTGCTACAACTTTATAACTAGGCTTTACGTTTATTGACACTGAATATAAATTAGGAATAGGCATTTTAAGCAAAAACACTCTTTAAATTTGTTAGTCATCATTGAATTATCTTTTAAATTTTCTCTTCTTGTCCTGTTCCCAAAGTTCCATTGCCCCATCCACCTAACCCACGTTGTTGGGACTTCCAWTGAACTGAAGCAAGTTTATTTAAATAGCACATTTCAGCAATAAGACAAGTTAGTGTGCTTTACATGATGTGGCATAATAAAGGAAAGGAAAGAAAAGCTGAACCACATACTAAAATTAATGATGTTTCAGTTCATATTTTAAACAGAAGGGTCAAAAGCAACTCTGAACAAATGAGTTTTTAACCTTGATTTAAAAGAACTCAAGGTTTTTTCATTCTTACAGCTTTCTGGAGTCTGTTCTGGATCAGTAGAACATAAAAACTGAATTCTGCTTCCATGTTTGGTTTTGATTCGGGGGATATACAGTAGTAGACTTGAACCAGAAAACCTGAGCAGTCTGGAAGGTTGATACGATGACAAATATTTGTCATATTTTGTGTTAAACCATTCAGTGATTTATAAACTAACAGAAGTATTTTGAAGGTGATGTGCTCTACTTTCTTAGTTTACTGCAATATAGACTCCAGCAGGAAGAAATTTTCTGCAGTTTATACCAAAGAAGGAGGGGTTTGCCAGGAGTTCGGCACAGTGTGTCTCAGGGGCTACAAAAGGATTGTGCAAAAACAAACACTGAACAACCAGGTTACCGTGCATCGACTGTTCAGCTTCAGATCAAGTATACTGGGCCCTTAACACACACTCACATGTAGGACCAGTTTTGATTAACCAGTTCAGCTAAAATGCATGTTTTTTGACAGTGAGAGGACGGGGGTACTCWTAGAAAACTCACACATGCCTGAAGAGGACATTCAAACTCGAAACAGAAAGGCCTCAATACGGGACCTTCATTCTGTGAGACAACTGTGCTGCTCCACCCGGCGACACTTTTCATGGATTTTAGCTTTATTTAATCATGGGTAMAACTTTTACTGTGACAAACTATTTATACGTCTGTGATTTACTCAGTTTTCTTACTTTTCATTTCAGGAATTTCAAATTAAAATATCTTAGACAGACAATGTGATTTTTTTTTCTACATATAGATTTTTCAGGTTCTTTGCTGAGCAGAGTCTCGCAAAGATGCTAACATAAGTGTAAGACTTTACACCTGGCGAGACTAAGTAGAGAAAAAAATTAATTTGGTGTAGGATTTTTTTTATGGGTAGCAGGACAGAAATATCTATTTTGGCTGTTGACTCCGTGTTGAATAGTGTGGAGAGGCTCAGTCATGGTRAAATGAAAGGATAAGAGCATAAGGCAAGAAAAAACAGAGACAGACAAACAGAAGCTTGCGCACTGAGAGGCTTTGCACACAATTCTCCGCACGCACGCACGCACACACACACGCACACACACACACACACACACACACACACACCAGCAAACTTTGTTCTCCCTGAACAATTCATCTAATATGCCTACAGTTCTGGAGTGATTAAGTAGAGCAGTCACACCACCTGTCAGGCCTGATACATCTCCAATGGATTTACCAAAAATTGAATATTGATCTTGCAATAAATTTTTGAAGAGGATGAAAAGACAAGAGACGCAGCTGAAACCTCATGTGAGTTTGTGTCTGATTGGAGCCGTGACAGCGTTACAAGGCTTTCACATTATTCACATCACGGGAGAAAGTGGAAAATGCCCTCTTTGGTGATTCTTACACTTTTAMAAGCAATAAAGCACTACCTGCAGCTCTTCTTTGACAAATGCCTGATTCTTTTGTTAAAATAAACAATATAAGAGACAAGAAACACACTTTATGGATAGGGCTTACTGTTCGGTTTGAAAGTTTTCCGAACCTTCTGAGGTTTTCACATTCCCTTTGAAGGAAGTGTAGTTTTTTTTCTCCTAACTTTTGTCTGAAAAACAAAATCAATGCAAAATTGCAAATTCGAGGCATAACATATATTATCCAGAGTACGGGTAGAGTATTATCAGCTCATCTCTGTACCAAGACACTGAGCTACACTGATAAGAATTTGTTGTGAAAAGCTTTGATTTCCCTCTTGAAATCCAGTGAATGCAACATGATTTGAATTGATCCTGAATGGATAAAAAAATGGGGAAGATGAATAATTTGACCCTGAGCTGGAAGTGTGATGAGATTTCTTTCTGGCTTTTACAAACCCAAGTGACCCCAAACAAAGTGCCAGCGTAATGAATTTCTGTCAGAGCTAATTTAAGATGGTCACAATCTGTGGTTTGTTTTTGGTTGTTCTTGTCATTGCTATTTAGAATAGTTTTTGTTTCTGTGGTTTATTGTTTCGTCCTCTTGTTTTCAGTTTGTTGGTTCCCCTGTGTTTCTCTGTGCCACCTTCCTCTTCCTCCAGTACTTCCCCGTAGTCAGTCTGTCACACAGTTACACCTCAAACTCACTTTTTTACCCATTCTATTCAAATTCAATTTTAGTTCCATCAGTATTTTGTAGTTTGTCTCGTTTTTTAGTTGATTTTATTGACGGTTCTTCCTGTTTGTTCATAACTTCCTTGTGCCTCATGTGAGGAGATGGAAAACTCTGACTTAAAACCCCTGGTGGATGACAAGTTGACAAATACTTGTAAATGGAGCAGACAAGTCACCATCCACCAGTAACTGGCAAAAGGAGATTCTAAAATCTCTGGGGACCCATCATTGGGCGCGAATATCGCAGGTGCCATGCCTATGCCCTGTCTGGTAGGGAACCAGTAATAAATTTGAGTTATTTCTTTGGGTTCCTTGTGTCAGTCTTTATTCTTGGGTCCTACATCCTAAAACAAGACAAATATGAACGAAAGTGCTTTTAATCATGATCAATGATCAGGCCTACTGACAGTTACTAACAATTGTCTTTACACAGTCAACTGCAGTTGTGTAACAGCGATTCAATATATTGAAATACCAGTCTGGTCACATAAGGCTGAACTCTTTGTGATCTGTTTAAAATCTGAATGATGTTTGTAATGTGAAGTATTTCTAAGCTGCAGAGCTTCAAACATGTATAGGATTTCTCGCTTGTTTTGCCAAAAATTTTAATTGTCCATCACAGTCTTTGCTAACTTTATTTAATTCGCCTCACTCGGTTTGCACYAGAGCAGCTATGGCCACATTGTAGCTACCACCATCAGTGTGTGAATGTGTGTGATTGGGTGCATGATTGAAGTGTAAAGTGCTTTGGAGTCCATGGGGACTTAGAATGCTATAGTTCAAGCCATTTACCATTTCTCGTTCATCTACGTCTACCAAAACGGTCAATACAGTGAAGCCCCGCAAAGTTGCATTTCATAGTTTGTGGACTTTTTCATGGAACCTAACTACCAGTAGTTTACTGTAATCCCAGCAAACTACTATGATATTGTGGAAACCAGAAGTACAGTAGGCCTGTAGTCAGTAATAAAGAACATCAGTTTTTTTCTTCTCCCATGCTTTTTCATGAGTTTTCAAACTAAATTCTTAAGAACAATAATTTACAAATTTTGTAACATAAGTATTAACGTAAATTCAATTCCATAAAAAGGAAAACCATATATTTCAATATTAATGCATGCCCTGTGCCCAATCTAGCACAGCATTTCCACCTTCTAACAGTACATTGTGGCGTTTAGCTGCTAAATGTTTAGCTCTTGTGTGCTTTTGTTTGGTTCTTACCACATTATGATGTCACCTAAAATTTATGCGCTGTAGGCCTTTTCTGGACCACATATTGTTCGCATTTTTTCACAATTTCTGGGTGCACTGTGAGAGCTGTATATTAAGAATTGTGATGGAAATGGAATAATAAAAGTCATCAGGGTACCTTAGTGCTTATGCATTGGCACCTTTAATAAATAAAAAGCAAATAATTGTTTCTAAGGTTTTTTGATCATAAAAAAAGCCTTTTGTTTTTACTTTCTTTATCATGGTGACTCTGGAATTCAAGTTTTAATTAAACATTTGTGCGTTTATAGCTATTTTCTTATATTTTAAAGGGATTAATCTTTGGGTTATAAATCAGTCTGCCCTGTCACTCCTAAAATCCACAGCAAACTTTGTACAACTCCTTTGAATCTTGAGAAATAGTGACTAACATTTGAAAGAGTGAGTTTCCATCAAAGCCTCGAAGTTGAACGTGAAGCCTATATATATACACCCAACTAATACTGCAGGAGGGTTATGTTTATCTTTTCTTGTAGATAACCTTGTCATGGATGTGGAACGCCTTTGCCTTTTTTTTCATGCCCAAGCATTGTATTTGTATTTTTAGACGTTGTGTTTCAGAGAGCTAGGTTCTTTTATTTCAGTCAGTCGATGATGGGTAAGGTTGAAGTCTTCCGTAGCCCAGAGCTACAGCTCTCAGAGGGAAGGAAGAACCGTTCAAGAATTGTAACATCTGGAAAGTTTTGGGAAAGAGGGTTCAGATCAGAGCAAAGCAAGAAAGCTGCCTTCCTGTGTCTGCTTCTGTTGCTGGTTTATCTTTGTAGCAAACTGTCAGCACCTTTTCCCACATCAACATATCAAATTTTCATCAAAGTCAGTCTTGTGTCTTCACGTAAAACCATCTGCCATGTGCAAAAAAAAAAAAGGGTAGAAAAATCTCAGCTAATCAGAACAAACTAATGATGTTGAAATATGAATCTCAGTGATACCCTTCAGGAAGAGAGCCATGTGGTGCTTTGATTGCAGTGGGAGACTGTCTCTGTAACCTTTTAGCTCTGAAACTCTTGTGAGACGTTGCCGGTCCTCTCTGAGCTTCAGTCGAGCTGAGCTGTAGATGTGAATTAGAATATGAATGAGAATGAATATAAATGACAAAGAATGAAAGAAATATGTCTTTTTTTTCTTTTTAGAACAAACTCTGCTTGTTAACACCATCCTTTTTTATTCTGGCACACCTTTGGGTACGAAGATCAAAACCTCATTTAAAAAATGTACAATCCTCTAGTCCACACACGTGCAAACACAATTACCTAAAATTAATCCGTGAAAACCAGATTTCATTCATCAATTCTAAAATGAGGCACCCCCCATCTTTTATACCTAGTTTTAAAGGGGACATACTGTATCATTCAAAATCCACACATTTTTTAGCCATTAAATGCATTTTGTTGTGTATTTGGAGTCTCTAGGAGTGCAGAAAATTTAAATTGGGTCTTTCCCGTTTCTGCGTAGATAGTTTTATATTTAGTTTTGGTCATATCAACCCATTTAGTTTTCTCTACTTTTTATTGCCCGTTTGCCACTGGCGCATCTACAGCATGGTTCAACTTGGCTTTCTACGGTTCCAAGGCTTTTCCACTAGGATTCGTGGAACCAGCTTCTTTTTCAGAATATACTTTGCTGTGGTTCCAAGTGTACCGTGCTGGCCTGAAAACACAACATCAGAAGACTTTCAATCACTGATAGGTTTGGGGGTGAAGTCATTGGTTGGGTYACAAGAGCTACACCAAGAACCTGATCTTCCATTATCATGTCCTCCATTGTTGTGTTGCGTATATGTTTTCGAGGTCTTCCTCTACTATGTTTAACAGGGGCAATGCGTGTTGTGTCAATTTTTGRCCCAACTGTATGATGAACTCACCTACTAAAGCTTTTGCTGGAAAACCACCCGAACCATGCTGAACAGAGTTCAGCCAAGTCTTTCTGTGCTGTAGAGGCCCAAGTGAAAAAGAGCCATATGACGTTTTCTAAACTATTACATCACAGTATTTGAGACTACCAAATAAAGTCTGTCTTCTTAATTCTATCGATAAGTCTTACGTTGCTGACATAATATTTTAATCAATTCATAAATAAAATGTTTCTGCGCCACTAAATAGTCATAAATCCCTTTATCAAACTGGAATGGACTGGTCTAGAAGCTGGAGGGGGTGGAGTGTGAAGCGCCTCATTTGAATTTAAAGAGACAGTCTCAAAACGAGTTGATGTGAGACACACCCTACAGACGGACTCGTCACTTTTAGATTCTTCCGTTCAATCTTAAAAGATAAGAGTTAGTAAGACATTTGATCAGTATCCTATACTTTAATCAATACCTGTTTGTATTTTCTCAACCATGGTGTTTTAGTCACTGTTAAGGTCATTATTATGCTTCGGTTTGCACTTTGAATTCAAAAATTGTTTAAGTGGACATAACACTGTAGTATATATTATTGTTTAGATTAGTCTTTTTATGTTGCTGACCTCTACGCCAGGTAAACCTTGGAAAAGAGATCTTGATGGTGAAATAAAGATGATATACACCAGATTTATGACTGTTTTCATGACATTATGCACAATCGCATGCATCATTGTGAGATCTCACAAGTTGTTTTCATCAGAACCCTAGTCGTCCTCCTCCACAGCTTGAGAATTCATTRACAACAGTTCTCCTGAAAATAAAAGCTGTTTAGTAATTTATGGTTTACACATTGACTTTATTTACCTTCTACATCACAGGACCTGCCATGTGACTATTGCACACACACACACACACACACATACATCGCGATGATGACATTCAAACAATATATCGTGCAGCCCTATTCTGATTCATTCATGATGTTTTGCTAACGCTACAAACTGATCAAGACAGACACAGGCGCAATTAATCTTCCTGTTTTTTATGAGGTATTTAAATCTAAATGATGACTTATGGAACTTGTTTTGTTAATGTGCCGATATTTGGACTTGCACTTTTTTTTCCTACCGCACTTAAACCTCTCCTATTTGTTTCTATGTGAATCCTGATCTTGCTTTTCTCTTTTTCTTCTCTCTTCTCTCCACAGCCTCCTTTGGAAATTTCTCCTAGCTCATCCCTGGATCTGTTTGGCAGCCCCCTTCCCCTCGTCCCCTGTCACAATCCGTCTCTAGGAGCCGCAGAAGAGCTGCTATCTTCAGATATGTGAGCGGAGAACCAACGAGTGAAAGGCGAAGAGGACRGGCCTATAGACTGCATGCCAACTGGTCCGGGGGATTCTCATTCAAACACGGCCAATCTGGTTTACGGGCACAGAGACGGAGACAAAGCCCCCTGTTCAAGGCGGGGATACCTTCGCAAACATATTAATGCGATGAAAGATCCACCACTCTAATGTGAGTGGAGCCTTTAAACCCAGTGATGTGGATAATTCTTTCAGATTTGGGAGAGTTTCATTTCATGAGTTTAAGCTGAATGTCAACGCTACAATAAAACTTTTTGTATTGTGAATATTCTCTGATACCAGTGAGAAATTAGACCTTTATATATAAACGTGTGTGGTAGAGTAACATGTAACATAGACTTTAATCTGTGTATCTTTAGTGTTTATTGGTGGAAAATTAAGAGATTTTGTAGAGTTAAAATGATACTCACTGACTGTTTATGCCTGATGAAGCAATAATTTGAACAGGGCATGGGTAAAGGATAATGTGTGTGATATTGGAAGGTGTTTGCAAAGAGACATGATGTAATGTGCATTTTAAAGTCTGTGCCATCTGTCTCTCACCGACACTAGAGGAAAGGACACGCCTCTGTTGTATTCTGTCCTCTTCCCGTCTCCTGACGTGACACTGAAGTTCTCAGTGCTCATAAATTAAAACGGCAAACTGTGACAGCAAACCAGATGCAAAGACTCCCAACGTGGCTGACGCCAGAAACTTGGATGTAACCTCAAGGCAGCAACGAACGGCTATTGTGTGGATGATGATATTCGTGTGTCATAAATAAAATAACGACAAACAAACATCCTTTAAGCAACACCTGCTCATCCAGCCTTCCTCTGTCTATCGTCTGATGAGGAGCCGTTGGATGGTGTGTGAGCTGCTGACTGTTCTGATAAGAAAACACACTGTGGTATTTTTAGATTATTTGATGTACTGTAAATATAATCACTTTTGATTTACTTGGACTGAACGTGGATGAACTGTTTGAAATGTAAGAAAAGTTAAATAAAAAATGTTCATTCACTTTACAGATTCAATATTATGTACAGCATATGAGGAACATAATGGAAAGTGTCTTTTTTGAATAAACCTAATACGATGATGAGTTAGTCTTGATCTTCTATCCATCCATTCATTTTCTTTACCTGCCTTTTTTTCTGAGTTTCTCACGTTTTTGCTGGGTTAGGGTCAGGCCAGGGCAGGCCCGTGGCATAGGCAGTATAGGCTAATGCTAAGTGTGCCATCAATCTAAGGGGCACAAATGAGGGATGTAAAAAATAATTGTATAACTTTTTATGAGACACTATTTAATTTAACTAATTTGGTTGATCTAGTCTGGAAAATAATCACTGGTCACTCAAGCTCATGAAGGTAACTTCTTCAGTTGTGATTTCAGATGAAGTTCTGATTAAAATCTAGTTTTCAGTGTTCTACCTTCATGAAATACTAATTTTATGTTTTTTTATTAATCCCAAACATTTAGGAAAATGTTCTTCAAATGGCTGGAAAATGAAGAGTTTTGATCTTTAACTAAATTTTCTAGGGAGGTACACCTCTGGACCCCATAGAACTGCTTCACTCCACAGCTGCTCGTCAACATGAACAGGTGTTTCTCATTGCTGTCCACAAACATTGGCAGGTATAAGATAGACTTCTACTATTCTGTTTCAAAGAAATTATTKTGATCAGACAACCTGGTTTCCAAAGATTTAAAAAAATCACATCAAAGACAAAACTATTTAATTGGGTATGTGAACATATGTAAATTGGCAGTGAGATTTATAAAATTGCACAAACTTAAATCTTGCCTAGCGTGCCAAATTGGTTAGGACCGGCCTTGGGTTAGGGCATCTTGCACGGGTAAGACATGTGATCTCCACAAAGACTGCAGCCTGGCAAGCGATACTGTGACTTCCTCACCATAAATCTTCATATAAAAAGCATGTTTTTAAATAAATGTTTTATATGTATTAAGGACACAAAAATGTTGATGGATTTGCTGCTTAAAAACAAACATTTAGAATTATAGCATTACTAAAGCCAAGTAGAGCTGCTATGATTTTCATGTGACGTTCTCAAGGTCACCATCTGATCACAAGTATTTCTTATTTTAAAGAAAACAAGCTTTTATTTTCTGAAGAAAAATATGATTTTTATGCTTCAGATGTTTGTGGGTTCAAAGAGATGAGATAAATAACTTATCTCAAGAAAAAAAGCAATGAAAATAAATTTCTAAGCATGTCCTTTTTTAGCTTCCATACAGAATGAACAATAAATAAATAAAAACAAAGTTAACTCTTTATTGTATTATACTAAGAAAGTTCAAAACACAGGTTTGAAATTTCCCCTAAATAAATACAAAACTTTCTAAAGTTACTATTAGAAATTACAAAAAAAAAATACAATGTTGGCATACTATTTAATAGTGTGAATCAAATTTYGTTGTGCTCTGAAATAGCATTAGGGATCTGTGAGTCACAAGTTCAGCTCTGAATGTAAAACAGTGTTCTTCTTCTACACACTAAATAGGATGTAACTGAGACATGAAGCATGTCACATCAGTAACAAAGCTCACGTTTGAGGAACAGATTCAGTGAACAGAGACCTCCTCCACCTTGCCGTGGAATAAATATGTGGAGCAGATGGGTGCTTTGGTTAACTGAGGAGCATGAACAAATTATTGCCTTTTTTTCCCTCCTCTGTATTTGTAATTGGAAATGTGCAATTATCTTTTGAAGCTGTGTTATGGATAAAATACCTTCCCAATGCTGAGTCTTTGTTTTGTAGAACTTGATTTAAATGTTTTTTAGTTGTTTTTCTAATCAGCTTGATCTCAGAACTGACAGCATCAGTCCCTTCTAGGACCCTAACAGCTACTACAATGAGGCTACTCAGTGGAGGGGGTGGGGGGTGGGGTAATAAGAAAGAAAGCTGCAGACGGTAAACTCTTGTGCTAGTAACCAGTTTTTACCCATATTTCAGCTCCAGCTGATTACTACATCACATGTCCATATGGGGAAAAAGTGAATTTGCTCTTTTGAACTTGTCAGGAAATGTTAAGAGAAAACAAGTTATCTCCTCTGAGCTTTTCAGTGAGCAGACATCTCCAACTGAGTAATTCTTTTTCTTTTGAACCAACCTTCTGCTGCTCACTGAGCAGAAATTGAATGGGAACATAAAACACTGCCACAGTTGGACGGATTCAAAACGAGTCAAACGGTGCCCCTTGTGAAATATTTATCAGTGCCAAATCAAAAGAAACCAAATTAAACTTGATTTGTTAGAAATACTTTGACACTTGTTGGTCACCTGTTCAGGCTCTGAATTCCTCTGCTTTTGGCTGTTCTCTCTGGCAGGGGTCACCCCAGTGAGTCTCCTCTTCGGCCTTCTTCTGTGTCTTTTCCCTGGCAGCGGCATCTCTAACATGCTTCTACCAACACTGTTCCTCCCCTGGACGTGTCCAAACCATCTCAGTCTGGTCTCTAACTTCATCTCCAAGTAGTTCAACCTGTGCTGTACTTCTGTGATCTCCAATCTTATCCATCTCCCATGGAGAACCTCACAATTTTCAGCTGTGCCACTTCCAGATCTGTCTCCTGTCTTTTTGTCAAAGCCACCTACTCCAAACCATACAACACAAGCTCACATGTCAAACTCAAGGCCGTTGCTTCAAATCTGGCCCTTGTTAACATCTTATATGTCCCAAAAGGTAATATTTAAATGTGATATATACATACATATACATTTATGGACATTTATGGTTTGATTTCTTTGTATGTATGGATCACTAGGGTTGTTAACAACATCTGGTGAAAGTTTCATGTTATTAGCACCTCTAGTGTATTTACTGAGAAAAAATGTTGACGTGTTCAATACTTATTTTACCCGCTGTATATGCAAGTTTATATATATA